AATTTTTTCATCTACAGTTGGGGTTCAGACAGAATTTTGTTGTCTACAGTCGGTTCAGACAGAATTTTGTGTGCTACAGGCGAATTCAGACAGAATTTTTTGGGGCAACAGTTGAGTTCAGATGGAATTTTATGGGGCTACAGTCATGTTCATACAGAATTTTGTGGGCTACATTCGCTTTCAAACAGAATTTTGTGGGCTCCAATCAGATTCAGACAGAATTTTGTGGGGCTACAGTCAGGTTCAGACTGAATTTTGTCAGCTACAGTCGGTTCAGAGTAGAATTTTTTGGGCTACAGTCGGTTTAGATAAAATTTTGTGGGCTACATTCGGTTTCAAACAGAATTTTGTGGGCTCCAATCAGGTTCAGACAGAATTTTGTCGGCTACAGTCGCTTTCAGACTAAATTTTGTGGTCTACGATCGTGTTCAGACAGAATTTTGGGGCTACAATTGGGTTCAAACAGAAATTTGTGGGCTACAGTCGAATTTTTTGGGGCTAAAATGGGTTAAGAGAGAATTTTTTGAGGCTACAATCGGTTTAGACAGAATTTGGTGGGGCTACAGTCGGTTCCGACAGAATTTTGTGGGCTACAGTCGAGTTCAGACAGAATTTTGGGGCTACATATATGTTCAGACAGAATTTTTTTGGCTACGCTCGGGTTCAGACAGAATTTTGTGGGGCTACAGTCGGTTCAAACAGAATTTTTTGGGCTACAGTCGGGTTCTGACAGAATTTTGTGGGGCTACAGTCGAGTTCAGACAGATTTTTGTGTGGCTACAGTCAGTTCAGACAGAATTTTGTAGGATTCAGACAAGGTTAGGATAGCTACTGAAAAATTAGTAGTTAGCTATTTTGTAGCTACTTTGCCAAAATTTGTAGCTAGCTACTTTTTGAAAAGTAGTGCACTACTTTTTAGCTACTTTCAAAGCGCGGTTGTCAGAATGTTTGTGAATCTCCACCTGACACCGCAAACAAGCCCAACTTAAAGTGTGAACAAGACACTGCATTTAATCATGTACCAGAAAGAAACATACAAATGAAAAGCTGCAAATATACAAAAAGATCACCAATAAGTAATTGTAACCAACAATCAAACTTACACGACCAAAGGTGTGATATCCAACAAAAATGTAGATTAAGTAAAAGCAAAGTCAATCATTACAGGTGTTTTCCTTAAAAAAATCAACAAAAATAACCGAATACAAACCAAACAATTTTGTGCAAAGCATTGTCAACTGTTAAAAATAAAAGTGCTCCAATTTAAATATTTCAGCAAGAAATGTACAGACATGACATTCAGAGTCCTTTGTTGAACTTCAGCAACACTTCAGCCTCAAAATTGTTATCAGTGACCCTGGCTCTGCGGAGTATTATTAGTAATAGTCTATTACGAAATTGTTTTTTTCCAATTTAGCTAAGGCAGGGGTCAGCTTATAACTGCTGCGGAGTAGTATTAGTAATAGTCTATTACGAAAATGTTTTTTTTTCACTTTAGCTAAAGCAGGGGTCAGCTTATAACTGCCAACAGGGCCGTAACTAGGATCAGAATTTTTGTGAGGTCCATTTTGCAGAAATGTTAATAAGTTTCTCCTTTTGTTTTTTTATTCAATCACTGCTCCTTTTTTACCCATCTATAACTGTTATGCACCTTTTTCTTTCATTTGTTCCTTCTTCATCCCTCCATTCTTCCATAAACTGCTATTAATGTTCCATAAACTTATTTGACTTAAATTGCCCTGTTTAAGTTTAATTAATCATTTAACTATTTATTTATGTGTTTATTTTCAGCTAAAAAATACATTAAACCTACATTAAATCAGGCGATAGTTTAAATCTGATTTTGTTTCATTTACCTCTCTCTCTATCTTTGCTTGTCTCTTTTGCATCCCTGTACTAACTGATTATTGTAAAAGCACACATTAAACATATGTTAAAAAGGCTGTCTGTACCAAAGCCCAGCTAAAGGGAAAGGCGGCTACTCATATAGTTAATGAGACAAAATATAGTCTAATGTACCTGCTGATTTCTAAATGTTTGCTACATGATACTATACCGTGTATATGCTGGTTAACAGTGAACTTTCTTATGTTGCTTGTAGTATGAGTAGGTAACACAATATAACTTCACATCTAATCTCTAATATAGCCTACTATGGAGCCTGTAGCCTAAACTGAGGAGCTACTGGAGCTAGACTAAAGTGTGCTGATTTGGCTAGCCACATTACGAGCAGTCCAAACAAAAAATGAAATATAAGGTTTTCATTTTACAATCTTAATGTTAATTGTGCTCAAACTCTCAGCTAGCTACATTTTTGCCATAGCGATGTTATGTGTTAGCTTATAGCGTGTGTGCTGCATACCTGAACAGCTCAAGAAGTCAAAGTTACTCTGGTTCTCTGGGCTGTGTAGCGTCTCGTACAGAGACAAACAGCAGGCAGATCGGTCTATGGCAGGGCCACAGCTGTACTGAGGTCAGCTGAGAACCTATAACTGCTCGCTGTGTAGTTTCAGCGCTTTTTGAATCTTATAAAATCCTGAGAAACTTCTGAGGAGCTTGGAGTCCTAACGCTAGTTATGAACGTCAGAGGCACTGATTACTGAAGTAATTGTGGACAGCAACATTCAATAAGCGGCGATTGGAGGGTTGAGAAAATAACGCGGAGCTTGGCAGATTTTGACTGGCGTAATATTCTGTCCCCAGATTTAAGACGAACATCAATAATTTGGAGACGAATGGATTTATTTGCATTTATAATCACTCCAGCCGGTTTCCGGATGCGTTTAATCTGCAACGAGAAACTGTCAAACACTAAGGCTACGTTTACCCAGCAGGTAAAAGTGGCCCAAATCCGATCTTTTTCCTCATATGTGACACAGATGTGTCATTTGTGTGGCAGTATGAACAGCAAAAAACCGATACGTATCCGATCTGCGGCAATGCGACTCTGTCTGAACAGCCAGATCGGAATTCATGCGACTTTTACGTCAATCCAACTCGACATTCGTCATAATTTCGCGCTGCTGAGACTCATAAACATTTAGGCTGATGTTTCTGTACTAAAAAAAATTAGAAGAGGCTTATCGCAGCCGCTCCGTGTTCAAAGAGGTTTCGAACGGAACAGCCGAACGCGGCCGGAGGAGACCGAGGCTGCAGCGTCAAGAATCCGAGGACACGAACCAAAGAAGTGGCCGTGGCAGAATAACGTTTTTCGGCGAACTCAAACACACAGTTGTCAACCACTGGAACTTTATAATCGCTCCTGTGATGCTGGCGAAGACGAAACTGAAAGCTCCGGGAGCGACTGGCGTTCGCTGGCTGTCATGACTGTTTACCTCTGGACGAGCCGCCACATGAAGCACTGTTCTTTTGCGCATGCGGGTCGGTTTAGGAGCGTGATCTGTTCAGACTGATGTCGCATACAGATCACATTTAAAAGATAAAGGGAACAGCCAAACAAAAAAAATGGTGAGAAAATCGGTTTTGTGCGGAGTCCCGCTGGTGACATCCTGTATAAATAAAAATAATGCATGGGAACGAGATCCTAATGCGTGGCCACAACTTAGTAAGGCGTGGGAATGAGATGATTAAGTCGTGGCCACGACTTAGTAAGGCGTGGGAACGAGATCACGGCTTACTAAGTCGTGGCCACGCATTAGGATCTCGTTCCCACGCTTTACTAAGTCGTAGCCACGACTTAATCATCTCATTCCCATGCCACTTTTACCTGCTGTGTAAACGTAGAAGTCATGAAGTCAGCTTCTCGTTCGAATTCTCCCGTTCCACCTTGGCGCAGCAGTAACGTATTCTGGCGCCTCATGCACCATTTAAGGTGAAACGGGACAATTTGAACAAGAAACTGGTAAATGAGAATCTGACTTCAGCCTCGGAAAAAGTCGGACGTTACGAGACATCTTACGTTTTAAAGTTTCCTTACTGATGTGCGAGAGAAGCGGCTACAGCTGAGCTAAAGCTTAAAGCAGAGCAAAGTAAGCCTGCGTTTTCGTTTATATTATGTTTTTAGCCTATACTAGCACTTTAGCACACACTGAGACTTATTTACAGCCAAGACTGTAAAATGGATATAAAATGCTTGCTGACCCCTAAGCTAAGCCTGTAAGGGGTGATCAGCGCGTTGGGGCAGTGCATGACTGTTTGCTCGAACTGTCTGCAGCTCAGTCAGACACAAGCCCAGTGAACGACCGCGCTCTGTGGTTCAGATTTTGCGCGGATCGCCTGAAGCCTGTAGCGAAATCGTAGTGAAAATGATTGCTATAGCTACACAATAATTTGTAGGCGCTACAGCTATTAGCTACATTTCATACAGCTACAAAAAGTAGCGCGCTGCTTAGCTACTCCCCCATCCCTGGATTCAGACAGAATTTTGTGTGGCTACAGTTGAGTTCAGGCAGAATTTTGTGGGGTACAGTTGGTTCAGACAGAATTTTGTGGGCTACAGTTGAGTTCAGTGAGAATTTTGTGGGGTACATTCAGTTTAGACAGAATTTTGTGGGCTACAGTCAGGTTCAGACAGAGTTTTGTGGGCTACAGTTGAGTTCAGGCAGAATTTTGTGGGATACAGTTGGTTCAGACAGAATTTTGTGGGCAACAATCAGTTCAGACAGAACTTTGTGGGGCTACAGTTGGATTCAGACAGAATTTTGTGGGCTACAGTCAGTTTAGATAAAATTTTGTGGGCTACATTCGGTTTCAAACAGAATTTTGTGGACTATAGTCAGGTTCAGACAGAATTTTATGGGCTACATTTAGGTTCAGACAGAATTTTGTGGGGCTACAGTCAGGTTTAGACAGAATTTTGTGGTGCTACAGTCAGATTCAGACAGAATTTTGTGGGCTACATTTGGTTCGAACAGAATATTTTGGGCTACAGTCAGTTCAGACAGAATTTTATGGGGCTACAGTCGGTTTACGCAGAATTTTGTGGGCTCCAAATTTCAGACTTGTTTAACTCTGTCCTTTCTCGTCCTCTGTTTTTCTAGCTCTTTAGGACCCTATTCTGGTTTGCTGCGGTCAATTCAGACAGTTATCCGGAATGAAGGCTTTGATGGGTCCAGTTCACAGGTTGGTCTCTTTCTAAAATATGAGTTTTGATCAGAGAAATGGGTGATTTGTTTATTAAGGGCATTTGAAAACACTTTTTTAAATAAGTGTATATGTAAATCTTTATTTACGTCAGGAAATCTCAAACATTTTTTATAGATGTATGAAAGGAAATCTAATAGAGTTTTAACGCATTTTAAAGCTTAGACAATTGTACAGTTTATACACTGAGCTTGTCAGCGTCAGCGCTGCATATATCGTCAAAAAATGTTGCTTCAACATAGAACAGAAAGTTTCACACACTTAAAAAGCAGCTGTTGCTCAGATGACAGAAAAAAAAATCTTTTTGACATTGTTTGTGTGTTTTAGCTAACAGGACCTCTGACTCTCGTTCCTCAGGGACCATCCACCCAAAACAGTGTTTTTATAAGGCAGATGTTCTGCAGTGTTGAGGGTCCCGGTGTTGCTGTGTGTAGTTTAGGATGTTGGTGATGGTGGGAGGAGGACTGTATTTTACTGATTCGGCTGATTCACTGTTTGATTGTCTCTCATGTTGCTTTTTGCCGTAACCCCTCTCCCTCCCCCTCGCTGGGCGTCATTTTACACCCATTGTGCTCTTGTTCTTCTTGTCATTTTTTCTCTGTTGTGTGTCTTCCTCTTTCTCTGTCTTAGGGGAGCGGGGCGGCTCCCTTGGGCTTTTCCCCCTTTAAGCCAGTCCCTTTAGCAGCGCAGTAAACAGGCTGAGACAGACACTGAGCAATACGGCTGCTCTCTGTTCATATTCATTAGCTCCTTCTGAGGTGCACGGGGGCTGAATAACCCCCCCTCACCCCCAATCCCTCCTCCTGCACCCAGTTCTAACTTTTATATGACTTTAATGCGGTTATTTCTGATCTGATTATATATGAATTTTAAATAAAAACATTTCCACCCAGTGTGAGTAAAATTAGCGCTGCTCAAACTCCTGGATCAGGACCAGACATTCGGCCAACGGCCCATCAAAAATCTCAGGTCTTCACCTGAAGTCTGGTTCAGTTCACTGCAGGTGGGGACGTTTTTATGATGGTCCACATCAAAACGAGGTAGCTCAGCATCAGAGCATGATCTCCTTCTTCTAGCAGCTCGTCAGTGCTGAACTGCCCACATAAACCCACTTACGCAGCTTTGATGAAGATTCACCTACATACAGAATCTACACACACTCAAGAGCACAAAGGTGAGAACAGTTCTGCACTTTAAGAACACGTCAGGAATCTGACATAGACTTTTTTTAGGACCTTTCTCAAGAACACACTGAAGAACAAACTCAGGAACTCATTGCTGAATGAAGCCAGATGTTCCTGCAGCATGTGCAGCTGTGACAGTAAATACAGAGCATTAAAATAATAGCAAAGCGTTTGATTTGAACAAATGAATCACAGAAAGTGTTTTTGGCGGCTTGACTGCTCAAAACTGATAAACTATTCAATCATAAAGATGCAGAGAAGAGAAGGTGTTAAGAACCTTTATTTCAATACAAAACAGAATGGAACATTCATATCAATATAAAGGTTAAATGTTAAAAATTGTTTTTGCCTCTAGTACTTTTTGTAACTGAGCGCTTTTATCCCCACCAAATATCTGCCAATCATGGAACACACACTGCAGTGCTGCAGCATGAAACCAACTGAAGAACCAAATCACAAACCAGTTCAGAGCAGCCAAAACTGCGCTCAAATAAAAGTGTTATACATTAAAATCATAGTTACTTGAGTAGACATAAAAGTAATCTTTTAAATTTTAAACTTGAGGAAAAGTAAGAAAATATTTTCTAAAAAAAAACTATGGTGAGTTACTTCATCTGGTTTCATTGAATTATGAAAATAGAACTGCTGTACTGTCAGTGATTTAGGACGTACATGTAAAAAAGATAAAATAAAATAAACTGTCCAAAACATAATTTCGTTTCAAATTCACTTAAGTAAAATACACAGAAAAGGAAAAAAGCTGTTTGCAAACTTGGATAAGAACGAATTTCTGCATTCTATTACAACAACAGACAATAATAAATTAAAGGAAACACAGCTCAACTGCTCTGTTCTGGAGTTTATAAATATTTATAAACACGTTCTGCTGTCGTTCTCTTCAGCACAGCTTCTGAAGCAGATTCCAGTTTAATTCTTTTACTGTCCCTGCAGACTAGCACTCTTAAAGAAGATGGTTCTTCAGGTATTCGTTAGTAAAGACAACAGTTCTATGTAGAACCAAGAGCACCAACAACCATTTGCATCCTTAAATGGTTGTCTGCATGCTGAAAGTGTTCCTTAAATTGTTGGTGAATGGTTCTGTATAGCACCAAAAAAGGGATCTGCTATTGTTACAATATCAAGCTTGTTACAATAGAAAAACCCTTTTTGGTGCTATATAGAATCCTTTTTTAAAAAGTTCCATCTAGAACCATATACAACACATTCTCCATCAATCTGAAGAACCATTTCATCTGCAAAAGCATTCAAAGGGTTCTTTGAGTGTTCATGGTTCTATATAGAACCGTTTTCTTTTCTAAAGAACCCTTGAAGTAGCATCTTTTTAAGAGTATAGCTTACAGTGGTGTTGAAATGTGTCTGTGTTGGTGAAATTACATTCTTGGTTTGTTTTGGTTTTGAAAGTTACTTTAAAAAACGTTACATTGACTCAGAAACAGTTGAGAAGTTTAAAACCGTTTATAATAGTTCAGCGAATACAGATCTGACTCCATCCTGTAATGATCTAGGCTCCGATCTAAGTGCTAGATTACGGGATACCCTTGACATTCTCACACTAGTAAAAAGGAAGAAAAGCTTGCACACTCTTAAAAATCCATGGATGAATGCAGAAATACGCCAGCTTAAGAGAAATTGTCATAAATCAGAGGGCTTATGGAGGAAAACTAAACTGCAGGTACATTATGACATTCTCAAAGATCAGATCTCAATCTGTAATAATGCTATGAAAATATCCAGACAGTCATACCTCTCTAGTGTAATTAATAGACACAAAGATAATACCAAAATCCTTTTTCCCACCATAGACTGACTAATCAACCCTAACTTGACTGCTAGTGCGTTTCACGGTGGTTTATCTTCTAAAGTCTGTGAAGAGTTCACAATTCATTTTCAAAATAAAATAGACCTGATACGACAGGGTGTAGCTCTGCTGACTGAAACAAGCTCCTATAATGTTCCTGAAAAGCCACCAACATCAGTATTGACATCTTTCTCTGTTATCAACTATTAGGAGCTTACAACTGTTTTAAACAAACTACGTTCATCCAAATGTGATCTTGACCCTGTTCCTACTTCATTCCTTAAGATGGTTTTTGATTGTCTTCACAATGATGTTTAACTATTGTAAATTGTTCTTTGTCAATAGGTGTTTTTCCAGAAGCTTTTAAAACTGCCCTGGTTAAGCCTCTGCTAAAAAAGAGTAGCATGGATCCTTCTGTACTAAATAATTTTAGACCAATTTCAAACCTACCTTTTCTAAGTAAAGTCTTAGAAAAAGCTGTTTTCAAGCAACTAAATGCGTATCTAATAAATAAGTTGTATGAGAAGTTTCAGTCAGGTTTTTGTTCTAACCGTAGTACAGAGACAGCATTGATTCGCGTTATGAATGACCTCATGCACAGCGCTGAGCCTCTATTTTGGTTTTATTAGATCTTAGTGCAGCTTTTGATACAGTTGACCACAAGATTTTAACCCAGCGTCTTGAATGCTGGGTGGGCCCCTCGGGCAGTTTTAGAATGGTTTAAATCATATTTAAGTAATAGGCAGTTCATGGTTTCACTTGGAAATCATTCATCAAAAAGATTGGGATTTCCTGTCCTGAGTCCCTCAAGGTTCAGTCTTAGGGCCTTTGCTTTTCTCTTTGTACATGCTACCTCTAGGTGATGTCATTAGGAAGCATAGTATAAATTTTCATAGCTATGCTGATGACACCCAGCTATACATTACTATTCCTTCTCAAGATCAAGACTCTGTAGATAGACTAACCAGCTGTGTGTTAGATATTTCTCATTGGTTGTTGTGAAATTTTCTACAGTTAAATCATGAAAAAACTGAAATACTGATCATTGGTACAGAAACTCAGAGAAAAATGATTTCTGAGAAACTCGGTTCTGTAGCTTCATATACCAAACCTGAAGTATGAAACCTGGGTGTGATCTTAGACTCTGAGCTCTGTTTTATCCCGTATGTAAACACAGTCACTAAAGTAGCTTTTTATTATTTGAGAAATATTGCGAAAGTTCTGCCTTTTCTCTCTCAGAGCGACACAGAGAAACTTGTTCATGCATTTGTTACAAGCAGACTTGAATACTGTAATGCTCTTCTTACTGGACTTCCTAAGAAAACTATACATCCCTTACAACTCGTGCAAAATGCAGCAGCGCGCATCCTAACAAAAACAAAACAGAGAGATCACATCACTCCCGTTTTGAAAGAACTGCACTGGCTGCCTGTATCATTCAGGATAGATTTTAAGGTTCTGCTACTAGTTTCTAAAGCTCAAAATGACCTAGCACCTGCTTACATCACAGAGTGTCTGTCTGTTTATGTTCTGACACGTAATCTAAGATCTGCAGATACTGACCTTCTAAAAATACCCTCTGTAAAATACAGAAAACAAGGAGAGGCCTCTTTCAGTTATTATGCTTCTAAACTGTGGAACTCAATTCCGCCTTTTATTAGACAGTCAAGCTCAGTGCTCACTTTTAAGAAGCATCTTAAAACGTATCTTAAAACGTATCTTAACTTAGCATTTAATTAAAACTCTACGTCTCGTGGTATTTATCTTCTAATTTGATCTGTTTCATTTTCTTCTGATTCTAAATAAATACTAATGATTTCTTGTATAACTGTTTTACCACCTATCTGTAAAGCACCTTGAGCTGCCACCGGCATGAAAAGTGCTATATAAATTATTATTATTATTATTATTATTATTATTATTATTATCACACATCAGTCTGAGAAACCAGAGACGCCTGAACATAATCTCTCTGAGCAAATATCTGCTAATACTAATAAGATTCTGATGTCATATAAACAGAGGAGTTTTAATTATACACAGTGATTTTCAGTGATTTTGAGTGATTTAGCTGAAGCTGTTGTAAAACCTAGATTAGAAAGCTGGAATGCTCGTGCTGATCAGCTGTCAGTTAAAATGATGATGAGTGAATGTTGACAAAGTTAATTATCTAGCTAACATTAGCTAAAACTATGGCCAAACTCAACGCAAGTATGCAAAAGCAAATGACGGCGCTCGGCTAACGCACTGCAAATACTCTGTCCTTCTGTACAAACTCGCTGTGCGCTGTTATGCTACTGTGGTGGTTAAAACACTCAGTACTGAAGGGGGCGCTAGAGGACAAATCAGAGAGGATCTACTGTTATTCCGGCAGCTAAACATGGACAGTAGAGAGTGAGCTGCTTTACCTTCCACTGGAATGGAAAGGCCATAATGGATCATATGTTTATGTTTATGTAAGCCGTCTTTGTGTGAGACTCAGCTGCTTGTCTGCTGTGGCAGTTGAGAAACAGTGTGAGACCACTTGGATAGGCTTGGCTCTCATTATAGCGCCCTTTGCTGTATCGGTCAGAATGCAGCTCGCACTTGCATTGCGTTATGAAATGTGTCGTGAGACATTTTTGAATGCAACTACATGCAAATCCCCATTTGCGTAGCTCAAAGCATCTGCATTCGCATCCTTGCGTGAAGTAAGTTACGGAGCTAAGAGCTAGCTAACATTTCTGTTGTTGCTCTCCCTCAGAGCAAACTTGGTCAAGACAGGCTGCTAAATTTTAGCTACAGCATAAGCTAGCTGTTAGAGTTTGTGGGTAACTATGTTAGCCAGCTAAACAGCTGACATTAGCTTTAATTAATTAGCCAGCACAGTTTAGAATGAGTTGCGGCAAAATACATACATGCTGTTTCAAAAACAAAATTAATATGTTGTTGCATGCTTGAGTTAAAGGTGCAGCGCGATTTAACTAGAGATATTTTTGACACTTTTTGGGTCTTTGTTTTTTTGGGGGCAGCTCTGACCACCCAAACTCTTGAAAACTCTTAAGTAGCTGCATTTACTTTCCTTATTAAAATCTTTTAGTTTTTGTGTGTTTTTTCAGTATTTTTGTAGGTTTTAAACCTCTCTCTCTTTAACACACACACACCTACAGGCAGTGTGAGTAAAGTGAGACAGGAAGCCCCGCCCCCTACAAGAAGAGCTGAGCCCGGTCTGGAGGAGGCCTGGCTGAGAGAAGTTTGTTTAGTTTAGATGTTGGTGACTGGGGGTCAGTGTGGAGCTCTGGACGGCGATGGAGCCGCACTGAATCGACAGCTTTGGTCAGCACGTCATGTGACCAAATCAAATAACAAAGTATAATACAGATGAGGACCTCCAGAGAACCCACCTTTCTGAGCTGCAGATAAGCTTTTGGAGTATAGCTCTTATTGTTTTAGAACCGACGATGAGCAGAAAACACTTCATCAGAACTGCGGCAGATTTCACCCATAGTTCTGTTTCTGATCAGGTTAATCTCTGCAGCGTCTGTACGATCAAACTCATCGCTGGTACACACTTAAAACGATGGGTTTTTAAGCCTCTTTTTGAAAAGGGTTCTATATAGCACCCAAAGGGTTCTTATATTGTTACAAGCTTGACATTGTGACAATAGCAGAACCCTTTTTAGTGCTATATAGAACACATTCTCCATCAGTGTGAAGAACCGATTTACCGTGCAGAGAACCCTTTAATCATGCAAAGAGTTCTTTGAGCTGTTACTGCTGTAATAGTTACACTGAAATACTGAATCGACAGTAATACAGGCTGCAATCTTTTAGCAGATATGGTGCGAAATGCGGTGAAGTCTGTGATTTAAAGCTTTCCTAAATTACACCTTCTCACACGCCCCAACCTCCTGCCCCATATTGTTTATATAAACAATACACTGTGTTTATACCTGATATGTTTTATTGAATCATTTTTAGAATAGGTAATGTACAGTGTAGTGGTTTCTGTGACACCCAAACACACAGAATACTGAAAGTCAGATTTGAAGCAGGAACTTCATCTTTACTGCATCTTTAACACGACACAGTGATTAACAAACTGAGCTGCAGCGGCCGCCTGTTCATGCGGCACTTCTGGATAATAACGTCTTTATTAATACAGTGGAAAAATGAAAAAAGATAGAAACAAGTCTTTATTACCAACATGTATCAGAAGAGACAACATAGAAATCTGTACAGATCTTTAATAATCAGTTCAGCTCACTGAGAGATTTTTACTGCTGCTATGAAAAATATAAAAGAAATCATCAGCGCTCGAGAAAAATTACGTCTCCACAGACGAGAGTCTCAGGGTAAGCTGTGGAAACGTGTTATTAATAATAATAATGATAATAATAGTGAATATTTCTTCTATAATCCAGGGTAAAGTGTGGAATATGTTGTTAGTAATAATAGTAATAATAATAATATCTTATATTTCAGGGTAAAGTGCGGAACGTGTTGCGTTTGGGTCTCCACTCTTTGGGCTCCGCCCTCTGGGGGGACGATGTGTGTTTAAGCGAAAGCCCCGCCCATGGCCACACCCTCACCACCTTCCTGTATGCCCTGCGAGCCCTGCTGCGCTCCTCCCTCTCTGTCGCCGTGGTGACCGTACCTGCCCACCTCATACAGGTAGAAGCTCGGAGAGGGTTATTGATGAGTCTGATTGATCAGCCTGAATAGAATTTCATAAACAAACAAACAAACACTGATGTAAGCTTATATGTACTGAAAATGAACCATAATTAATTTCAAATATCTGCATCTAATAAACTAAACTAATACTGTTCAAATATCCAGCAAGACAGTATTTAATATTGTCATATATAAAAATTTAAAAATAAAGTTTAAAATAGTTCATCATGTGTGGAATATGAGATTTAGGTGTGTGATTAAACATTCAATTATCATCTGTCTGTCTGAAATATTAAATATACGGATGATTCTGATGAGCTGGTTCAGAATCAGTATCATTTGCTCTCCTGTACAGACAGTTTGTCACTAACCCAAACCGAAAAACAGTTGAAATTTACCGTTTTTTGATGTAAAAACAATCGATGTACTTGCATTTACCCTCCAACTTGTCCTACAGCGTTTTAAGCCCAGTCACAGTAAAGCAGTGTTTCAGCCCCACTGTCAATCAGAACAGAGACCATTTACATATTTCAGTCTGACAGGCACAGTAACAGAAATCATTATCATCTAATTCAATATTACGGTATTTGTAACTCTTCAGCCTTAAAGCACCACGTTTCTTTGATGTTCAGTAAAATTGATACATGCAGTACTGTGTTGAAATAATAAAGTGATGAGAGTAAAAGAAAGAGCACAGCTGCATGAAAACTGCATTATACTCACTCACCAGCACAAACACTGAAATATTCAACAACAGCACAGAAATAAAATACAACCCTCTCTCTCTTTCTCTCTCTCTCTCTCTCTCTCTCTCTCTGTCTTTTTCTCTCTCTGTAGAGTAAGTCAGTGTTGGGGAGGATGGTGAAGCTGAGTGATGCGGTTGTTGCTCTGGAGTCGTTCTGCAGTTCTGAGCGAGAGACCAGCGCTGTGTACAGAGAATATCACGGTGAGAGAGACGCTGTAAACTGTCGTAATAGTAGATAGACTGTCGGCTCCTGTTAGTGTCTCTGTTCAATCAGCCGTATTCCTCCGCAGACAGACAGACAGACAGATGCACAGACGGACAGACACACACAGAGACACACAGACAGACAGTCAGACAGACTCCTCCCCTAAACAGCCTTCAGTATCACTGAGCTGCACAATCAATATTAATATTTATATTTCTTCATCTTCATTAAGTCCTCTCTGTGGACGAGAGACAGCAACTCTCTCTATTTCTCTCTCTCTCTTCCTCCCTCTCTCTCTTTTCCTTTCTCTATTTCTACTTTCTCTCCTGCTCTCTTGTCCTGTAATTAAAATTCTTCCTTGTTTCTCTGTGCAGTATAAGTGTGTGTGAGTGTGTGTGTGTGTGAATGTGTGTGTGTAGGCTGTTTTTTCTTGTGTAGCACTGAGCGTGCTGGGAGTCCTGTCAAAGCCAGTCAGGCTCAGCCAGTCAGCCTAGCGTACAGGCTAAAGCTAACAGGCCTACACACACACACACAGTGTGTGTCCAACTGTTGCTCTGTCTTTCATCTCCTCTTGGTTTATTTATTATTATTTTTTTCTCATTTTGACTCGAGCTGAATGATTGATCTGTTTTATCTCAAAATCACAGTTTGAAAGAAATGTATCAATAAATTCTGAAAATGATGCATATTACTGAATATGTTTATATGGATGACGGTGGCTTGTTAAGGTTCCCCTGATATTATTTACAGCAGAACTGTAATGTTTCTTTTTTTTCCCGATTTTTTTTTGTCGCATCCAGTTCCACCCACTAGTTAGGACTCCATCATTAGTTGTTAGTTTATCATCACCCTCCTAGTTCAGGTGGTATCATGTGAGTTATGCATGGGACTGGATACGACTAAATTGGGGAGAAAATTGAAAAAATAGCAAAAGAAGACAAAGAACCAAATGAGCTGCGGTAGCTCAAGGGGAGGAGACCACATATTTAAGTCTAATAAAAAAATCAGCTTAAAAATGCATAAAAAATGCATAAAAATGCCAAAATGTATCCCTTATTTTCTGAAAGATTGAGAGAGAGAGAGAGAGAGAGAGAGAGAGAGAGAGGATATTCATTTTTCTCCATATAAACGTAAAAAGCTGCCTGCCGAACTGACCACACGCCGGCGTCAGACGCTCCTCTACAAACCAGAAATCAGTGTCCAGTACAGGGAGATGCAGCCCACACCGGTGATGACAACAGGACACAGGTGTGTCATGCTGAGTTCTTTAGTGTTCTTGATAAACTGCAACAAGAAACCAAAACTAACCAGATCAAATCTATAACAAAAACATGAACCTTTATTCGGACATTCAGGTGAGAAAACACTCTCACAGCTGCAGAGTCTGCTGTAAACCGCTCTGAGAGGTGTTAGTGCCCCTCACTGGTTGCTGTTCAGGAGCAATGAAGCTTTACTGAAACAGATGTTGAGGAGCAGCAGAGATTCTCTGATGTTAGTGAAGATGATAATCTGCTGTTTGGGAAGCATAACATCCAGCTCAGCCAATCAGATCACACCACGTAAGTTATAAGCCAATCATACCTCAACCTTGACGTCAGAAAAGCTCTACCAAGTGTTACGAGTTCTCTTCAGCAAAATGACTTCAGCAGTCATTAACGCTAGAACTTTACAAAAATTAGTTTAGAATAATTTGTCACTGATCGCTGCTGTTCTAGTACTGAATAGTATAAACTACACTCCTAAAGTAGATGGTTCTTTAAGGGTTCTTTAGTAAATAAAATGGTTCTATATAGAACCATGAACACTCAAAGAACCCTTTGTATAATGCATGTTCTTTGTATGGTGAAATGGTTCTTTAGATTGATGGAGAATGTGCTGAATATTGTTCTGTGTAAGACCACAAAGCGTTCCTCTATTGTTACAAGCTTGACATTGTAGCGATAGCAGAACTGTAAACAGCTGTTTAGTTTTGCTGTTCCACTGTTACTGCTGGTCAGTTAAATGTTCTGCTGCAGCTCATTTTTCTGAAGCCACTGTCAGTAAAGCTGATTGATTGAGTGCGTTCGGACTGGATTGGACCGTCTGATGAAGCTGGTTGTTCCTTAATAGCAGCACGACAGGAAACACGCTGGTTATTTTTAATCACTCTCAGCCGTACGCCAGCTTACATCTGATCTATGATCTTTACAAGTAACAGTGATAATGAGACTCACTGCAGTGACAAATTACCTGTAGAGTTTTTACTGAACTGGGAAAATCTGCTGTTATCTGCAGCGCAGTGAGCTGGAGTCTCCGAAACTCACTCGCTGGCATCACTCAGTTATTACACACTTAATCTCTAACCATCTTCAGACAGCATGTAACTGACTTAGTTTATTACACTTTATTATGTATTTTTCCAATCATTTTATTTTATTGTTATTTTTGTTCTATTTTAATATATATTCTTTTTCACATCCCCAATATATATATATATATATATATATATATATATATATATATATATAGTTAGATTTTACTGTTAATCTTTTCATGTAGTTCTGTTTATATTGGTTTGAACTGATTAAACTTAATTTTAGTTTCTTTTTCAGTCTCTTTGTGCTTTAAATGCTTGACTGCAGTGAAAATGAGGGTCAAACTCAGTGTGTTTCCCAGTGAAAAGAAAGGTTGACTGATTGATTGAAGTTAGATTTGTGAGTGGTTCAGATTGTCAGTAAGGTGTTAGACTCCTCGTTACTCTGTTTACACCAAGGACCACCGTCTTTCAGGGGGAGGGGCTCTGAGATCAGCCTTATAACGTATTATTATACACACTGAACAGGAGAGCACCTGTACAGTCTGAGGGCAAAAGGTCTGTGCGATGTCTCTGTTTGATATGGTCAGTGCTGACTGTGCGTTTGTGTTCTTGCAGGTCTTCTCCACATTCGGCAGGTTCCCCACCTGAACTGCCTGGTCTGTGAAGTTCCTGACAACAAAGATCTGGCGTTTAAACTCAAGAGGAAGCAGTTCAGCATCGAGGTGAGAATTTAACACTGCTCCCCCAACAGTAAAACCATCATCTCCTGATGAGAACATCTGGGGAGAACCGTGGGAAATTTGGGCTAAGTGTGGAGGAACGTAGACTTTTCAGAGTTTGGACATTTCCTTCAGAATCTCTCTAAGCAAGGAACAGTTTGGATGAGTGTCTTCTAATATAGTTTGTACAGAAACATCAGCCCAGATGTTGATGAGATCTCAGCAGCACAAAATTATGACAAATGTTGGGTAGTTTGAAGTCGTTTGAATTCCGATCTGGCTGTTCAGAGTCGCACTGCTGCATACCTGATATGTATCAGATTTCAGTACCACCTATGAAAGATGTCCCGAATCAGAACTGAAAATGTTAAATTCAGTATTTTTACTGTGCACACTGACACACAGGCAGTACACCTGTGTCACATATGAAGAAAAAAATCAGATTTGGGCCACTTTGACCTGCTGTGTGAATAGTACCTTAGTGGCACATTTGTAGCAGTTCAGCACCAAAGTTTGAAGCCCTTAAGACCGACACAAAATCATTGTTAGTCATGTGAAATGTTGTTGCATTTAATTTTATATGGATAGAACATGATGTGAACAATTCAGTTTGTGTAACAAACTACATTTTTATCAGAAACTCTTGAAAATGAATATAATTCACACAGTGGCGCTTTATCGTTACTCTGATTAAATAAATCAGTAATGAGCTCTTACTGATCTGGATGATAACAGCAGTAAAGGAGGCTTGTGCGTCTCTTACACACTGATAGGAAACGCATCAGAATGCTCCGGTTCTTCATGCTGATGTTGATGAAGGGGTGGACGGGCTCGTCGGGTTCATGTGGTTGGCAGGTTGTCCCCAGACGTGTTTTTTCATTACAAGATCATTTCTGGCCTCACGAGACTGTTTACGCTGTTAACAGTGTGTGTGAGACCCAGGGGGAGGGGTTGGGGGTGTGACTGAGTCTGACCTTTGACCTGTTTAGCATTGGCTTTGACTCACTAGCACAATAACACAATAGCATTAATATCATTACCCTTTTTATGCACTGACCACTTCACTCATTCACTCTCTCACTTACTCACTCACTCACTCACTGAAGAATAAATGTAGGTGCCGGTCTGAAGCCCCTCGTAAACCCTCATTAAGTTCCATTATAACAGTGTTTAACACGCTCAGTCCAGCAGTCTGGAGTGTTTTTGTGTAAAATGTATCATCATGTTTAACTCCAGCTTTCTAAAAGCTGCTGTGTTCAGAGCTTGTAGGAGTTTTTATGATTTTATATTATGTTTGTATGTTTGTATTTGGGGTTGTCCGTGTTTGAGGTGAACATGCTTCATGTGTTGCAGCTCCAGTAGAGACGTCCAAAATCACACACATGCAGAAATTTTCTTCACTGTCACTCGGACTGTGTGTGTGTGTTTGTGTGTGAGTATGTGTGTGTGTTCATTCACATTCCAGCTGCATCAGCCCTGTGTGTGTGTTTGTGTGTGATGCTGTGATTGACAGCAGTAATTGAATTAAGCTGATACTCTGTGCTTGTGTTTTTATATATTATATATGTGGAGCACCTCACACTCGTCTTTATTGAGCTGTTTTCTCTCTGATGAGTGTGTGCTGCAGTGACTGACAGGCAGGCTTAAACTCTGAGGTCAGAGAGAGAGTGTGTGTCAATTAGGATTATGCGAAGTCAGGATTCTAAGAAAGAAGGAAAGGAAGAGCCTGTAAATGCGTAATACGTGTATGTGTACATAACGGCCATTTTGAATGTAAATTAAATAAATGAAGGGGGCACAGTGTTGTATATAATATATAGGTGTGTAGGTGTGTGTGTGTGTGTGTGTGTGTGTTGTTTGTGAGAGTGAGACTCACTTCAGCTGGTGGTTGACGATCACTCAGTTACCCAGCATGCCTTGGGGCCAGAATTAACCCCTTCCCTGTTTCAGCCGGTAGAGTTTAGACACACACACACATACACACTGACAGTGAGGAGTATGAGAGGAGTGAGTTATTAGTGTTATTGCTTCAGTGGTGAGAATATCTTCATTATTGATGCAACAGTACTGACCTTATTGAACTGATCAGGTATCAGCTGGACGTGTTATGCTTTGAAATGAACTCTTTAGTTTTAACAGCAGATGTGAAAGATACAGATTCAGAATCTGAAAAGAAGAATTCAGAATTCAGTATCACTGAATCAGGGATCCGAATTGGTTTCAGGAGGGAAAAACGTGGATCGGTGTGTCCTTAATCTTCACATCTGGGTGTGGGTCAAGCCAAAGGGTCAGCATGAGGGTTAACATTGAGGTTAGTATAAGGGTTATTGTGAGGGTTATTGTGAGGCTTAGCGTCAGGGTTAGCCGGAGAGTTAGTATGAGGGTTAAAATGGGGGCTAATATGTAGGTTAAAATGAAGGTTAACAAAGGGTCAGCGTGAGGGTTAACATGTAGGTTAGTATAAAGGTTATCATGAGGGTTACTGTGAGGCTTAGCATCAGGTTTAGCATGAGGGTTACTAAAGTGTTAGCATAACGGTTAGCCCTAAAGTTATGATGAACGTTAACACAAGGTTTTATATGAAGACTAAAATGAAGGAAGGTTAGTGTGAGGGTTAACATGAAGGTTAACATAAAAGGTTAGCATGAAGGTTAGCATGAATTAAAAAAAAAGCTTGCTGTGATTGGTGTGTCTCTGGCTTTGTCTCAAATGCTAATGAAATGATTCCAGTCAGCACCTGTGTTGGCAAATTGCGATAAATATGTCACAGCTGACTCAGAGGTTTTATAATGACAGCCACATTCCGTTTGGAATTGTTTTTTGACTATGTTTTGTCATTATTGTGAAGGCTCTGCTCCTCAGGCTAGGCTATGATTGATTAGTTGCGTCCAGGCCAGGCTGCTGCCACTTTGCAGCTGCTATTAGCTGTGTCTGAGCCAGCAAGCCGCACAAACCACGCGTTCCTAACGTTCAGGACACTTCGTTCTGAGAAACAGAAAGTTACAGATGGAGAGGAAGCTGAATCAGGGCCCGGAATTTCATGGATAATCTACAGTGAATAGCAGATCATGTGTTAATGAAGTGTAGAGAGCGATACAGCTTCTATTGTTTTGTTAAAAAAAGCTCTCTATAATGTTCATATGATCCACACAGTCATTCTGACAGACTGTAATACACTGCAGGAAGTGTAGGGGGCGATATGGCTTCTATTGTTTTATTTGAAAAGCGCTCTATAATGTTTCACAGACATTCTTTGAAAGATGGCAAATGAAGGCAGAACTTTGAGATACATAAACTTTAACTTCAGCCTCAAGTTCCGTTGTAGCTTCAGCTCCAGGTTTAATTTAGTTCTGCTGTATCTTCAGGTTCAGCTGCAGGTTCTGCTTCAGCTACGAGTTAAACTGTAGCATCAGGTTCAGTTTCAGATTCAGACTCAGCAGGTTCAGGAGTTCCTCCTTGGCTCCTCTCCCGCAGCTGCTGTGTGGAGAATCTTTAATAATTTAGCCTTCATCTAAATTCAGAAGGTCCTGTGGTAGTCTGGTGGGTGGATGTGTGTGTGTGTGAGAGAGAGAAGGTGTGTGTGTGTGTGTGTGTACGTGCGTGTGTGTGTGCAGATCTATAATTCAGAATTCTGTATCTGCAGCTCTCCTGTACAGAACCACAGCTTCAGCCTTCAGCCTCTGTTTACACTCTACACAACTCTATACAACATAACACAACTCAGCTCTACACGACTATACACAACATAACACAACTCATCTCTACACAACTACAGAGTTTTGTTGTTTAGGACGGTCGCCACACTCAAATATAAAGAACGCTTCTGAAGTGAAGTGTGTTTTTCGGAGTAGCTGCTGTAAACACACTGTCACTCCTATCTGTTTTCTTTCATCAGCGAATCCCAAACCCTCAACACAGACTCCTCCCAGCCCGACCGCTCAGGGCTGGAATTTTGATCCGAGCTCTCCTGTACAGAACCTTCAGAGCTTCAGCCTTCAGCCTCTGTTTACACTCTACACAACTCTATACAACATAACACAACTCAGCTCTACACGACTATACACAACATAACACAACTCATCTCTACACAACTACAGAGTTGTCCTTTAGTTTACGTCCCGCGAAATCACTACTAAAAATAACATTCCCACACTCGGACTCCGCTCCGCCTCTAGCTGTACAATTTAGATGGACAGAGTGATCATGTTTTACGGCTAAACCTGTTTGGCCTGTTAGAGCGCAGGATGATACTGAGCATCTATTATGAAGAATGGTCCAGTTGATTTCCTTAAATAAATTGAAAGGTTCACTTTCCCAGAGTAAACGGTCTTATTTGTACCTTTATATAATTCAGTGTTTTCAAATAGGAATTAAAATCAGAATTCTGGAATCACTGTGATTGAAGTTGATGCAACTTAAAATATGTAACTGCGCCAAAAAATGAAATAATTATGTTCCCTAATTAAAGGTACCGAAGGCACACCCTTGAGGATTCCACACCAGCCACACTTTAGTAACTTTCTAGAATGTGTTTGTTTCATTTGTTTTGATTGTTTTTACATTGTGGTGTTACAGTGCAACAGTTTAAACAGGTGAGTGTCCACTGGTTGGTCAGGAGTTTGGCAGTTTGACTCCTTTAGCGCCAGAAGACGAACTAAAACTTTAAGCACTGCTGATGTCAGTTCTACCTATCAGATACATTCTGTGGACCATGTGCCAAAACATTTTATCAAATGTTCTTTTATTGAAGGGGAGATACTAAACACACCCACTTGACATTCATGCCCACGATACACTGTGTGAACAGTCAGAGCTGAGTTGAGCCAAATGAAGTTGTGATCTAGTGAAGCAGCAATTTCACCATCTGACAAACGACTTACCAAAAAACATTTTTTGTGTTTTACTTTATTTGTTTAGTTGTATTTATTGTTATAAAACTTTTGTATATTCAAAAACATAACTGTGAGCACATTCAGTTTCACGACTTCTACACTTACATCTTT